TAAAAATAAACTTATAAAAGCGGGTGAAATATATTTATACTAACTTTGATGCGTCATCAACGAGACTAGGATTCATATCCATCATTAAGTCAAGTAAGTGACTAACAAACGTAGAACACGATTTAATGAAATTGAATTGTAGAGAAAAAAGTATGAGTTGTGTTTAATATGTAAAGTATTAAGAATTATTTGAAATTATAATAAAAACGTGTTATTTATATAAAACTCACTTATTTTCCTCCTTTAACTTCCGTGCCTTATGCTTGGTTATCTCTAAACTATGTTTCAAGTCGTCCCTTTGCTATAGGTTATAGAGAATTAGTTACTGTTAGTCTCGAAAATAAAACACCAAACTATAAAAACAATAATTCATAAAATAAAAAAAATAAAAATCGCGTTATAGAATCGACACTCTTAAACGAGAAGAATGTTAGAATACAAACACAAATATCTTTTATTTTACACACAAACCTTGTTTAATACTTCATACTTCTCTCTTAACCTATAATATTTCTCCTTGAAAGATCGTGAATCGGCCATGAGTCCAGCCCTTCTCAAGTGGGTTAAAATACAGCCAAACTATAAAATGTGAGTGAAAAGCGAAAGCTTGAACTTGTAAGAAAATGAAGGAAATCTCCAAAAACTATGAAAACCGTCAACAGTTTTTTTTATTTTGGTATAGGGCACGGGTAAGCCTATATCTACAATATATTAAACTAATATTACTATAGTATTTTATATAAGGTTACGTAACCATATACGTCACAAAAATGATAATACACAATTAGTATACCTAATATGATAAGATTATTGTTTGAAAATTGTTGAACAGTTCTTTCTTGATTTGTTTCTTGTTAAATGGTTTGTTTAGGAAAAAAATCTGGCTTGTAGGATAAAATGTATTATTAAAGGATAGGGACAAAAAAAATGTTTCGATTTCCCACCCGAAAATAAAGAGAAAAAAAAAATCGGGGGGAGGTGAAATTGTTAGGAAAAAGAAAAGAAAAGGGGAAGTGAAGAAAGAGAGGAGAATAGTTAAAAAGGGAAGATAAATATTCTTTTTTATGATAAAATCGGAGTAATTACCAATTGTGGAGCGATAATAGCAATTAGGCGTAGAATTAGTGTATATATTTATTAATTCTTTTTTCGCTCAACTATGGGCAAATCGAAGGAAAATTAACCGACAAGCCAATACCACAAGACAAAAAGTTCATCTAAACTTAATACAGCGGTTCTTTCCTTCGCCGGGGGAAAGTTTTATTATAATTTAAATTAAGATCAGCAAGTCATCGCTTTCTTATCTATTTAGCATGTGAAACCAGAAAAACTGTCGCAAGGAAACCACGTTGACATTCCGCTCTTCCCAATATTCATATTTTGTGATACATTAATTTCTTCTTTATTGACATGTACGATAAAAAAATATATCGCTAATTTAGTAAATAATGAAATTATTTTTTCATCGGCTTTTCCCTCGACACACATTTATTAAAAACTATTTAAGAAAGGAACCAATCAATAAATTCGATATATGTTAGTAAAGAGAGAAATACAAGAACGATAAGAGAAGGTTAGAATGATATAAATATAGCCGATATATCCGATAAAAAAGATATGTACAACATGATTTAGAAGACAGGAACACAAAAATAAATCTGAACCGCGAAAAATATTTTTCATTTTCCGAATAAATTTGTGCAAATTACAGACTATCCACGTGTTCGAAAAAATTATTATTGCTTCTTTATGAACCGATTTTAAATGGCCTGTTATTTTCTTCGAGAAATGATGCTTTGCGATTTTACCGGGAGCTCCTACGATGTGATTACTAAAAGGTATTTATAGACATTTCACGCCGATCATATTTTTCATTTTTCCCGAACATGAACTCTTATGTTACATCATTCTTTGATCAGCGTGCGAACAAATGTCAAGGAGTTGGGATCTTTTTTTGCTGTAATGCGAAGTTCGAATTAGACCATTTTCAGTTTAGTTTTTTTTTTTTCCTCGATATAAGAGATTTATGAATCAAATATATTTTTTTTATTTGTGTTCTTGTTACGAATAAATGAAATGGGTCCTTGTGATTCGTTTCTAATGTAATCAATAATAAGGATCACCCGGAATGGTATTTGCTCTTACACGACTTATTATGATTTTGACCCTTTATTTAAGTCATTTTAGAAAATAGATCAAAGATATTCATTATAAATTCTAAGAATGTCAACATTGGGAACTCGAATAGAAAAAGGATATAAATCTGAATTTGGAACGGATTTATACAAAATAACAAAACTTCGGTATATCAGAATAGGTAGATCAATATCTAACTTTATTTGTTTTTATTTATTTATAACAATAATTAATTTTACTTTAATATTTTTTACTTAATATCATTATTATTATGTTTTAATAATTATTTGAATTAATATAATTTTAATTTTTGATTATTTTTATAACTTGATTTAATAAAATTCATATTATGTATTTTGTTTATATATACATTATTTTTTTATATATAATGAATATTTTTTAATCAATATTATAAAATACTAATTAAACCTAATTTATAATAATTATCTTTTGCTATTATTCAAATTATAATATTAAATTAGCTATCTTAATGATAATTTGTTTATTAAAATAAAATATTTTTTATTAGCTTTATTTATTTAAATAACCAAATTATTCAATTATTCGATTATTAGTCTTTTATTTTTTTTAATAGTTTAAATATAATATTTTGAATAATAAAAAATTTAATAATAATAATATGGGGCCTTTGTAATAGAAAGGAGGAAAACTGCCGGAAAATTAAAAAATGAATTAATGCTAAATTTGAACATATTTCAGCCTAAAAATCATATTTGACATATAAAGTAAAATTGATTTTTTTTTGGCAGTTTTCCCCCTTTCTATTGCAAGACCCTATATATCATATCCTTTTAATATTTTGCTTTCAAATTTAAAAGAAATTTTACTTACTAATTAAAGTTAATTTTAAATATATTAAAAAATAGTTATCAAACCAATAATATTTTTATAATAAAATTTATAATGTTTTTTAAATAATATCAAAAAAAATAA